TCTTTCTGCACCCTACCAGAGAATTACCCAACACCAGGCCTTTCACCCCCAAGAACAAAGAGCTAAATTTAGATACTCCGTTATCACCCACAATCGGATGGGATTTCACTGCCCAGGTGCTGAAGGCCAATGAGATCAACCAACATTATTTCATGTTAGATGTACAGCTTCCCTGCGCTAGCTCAGTGCCTTGGAAGGTCAAGCCACCCATTCTGATAACTGAATACAAGCGTTGGTCACTAGTTTCCTGGTAGTCGCACACAAACCTATACACTTACCAGGGAAAGTGCTGAACAGCACTCTGGAGATGCACGTTCCTTCTCTATGGAAGAGGTGGGCTGTAGGCCAAGTAAGCCAACCTCCCTATCCTGCCCCACTATCCCAGCTAACCCATATGCTGACAGGCCAGTTACAGGGGGCCATGTGACTGTTAAGCTGATCAAAACTACCAAAAGAAGCCATCCATCAACATCAGTAGTTACAAAGCACAAGCACTTTCTCAGACTGAGTCCTAAAAACATGCTGCTTCTGTGCCTAAAGGGATTCTTCCCCTTTATTGCCAACTTGTCCTTTCCCTGTTCACTCGCACTGCCAAGTTCAATGGCACACAGCAGCCCCTTTTACACCCTAGGTCTTCAAAGGCAACTTGCTGCTTAGGAGCCCTGGGTTTTACAAATACTCCTGAGTGTATTTGCACAATGCACTAAGGAAGAAGGGAGTTACCACTCACATTTGATATAACAAGATAGTGAAAATGAGTGGGTTGCACAGGGAGACTAAGTCCAAGCCAGAAAATTTGTTTAGATTCCTCACCTTTCAGGTGACTGTTTTAAACCAGCTCCAACCCATTATCCACACCTTGTAGAACAATATTATTACTCAAATATCATAGTCCCATGGATTTTCATCCAATAACAGACTCAAATCCATCCATTGATGTGGGATTTCCACTCCCATTTAACAGTATATAATCAGGTCCATGACAAAAATGTGCCATGTGTTAAACTGGTGGCAGTCAGAAGGTGTTTCCTAACAGATTTACCTGTTCTTGAAAAGCATTGGCTTGTTCTTCAAATCCAGCTGTTCTGAAGTAATTCACAACATCGATAACAGCCCAGTCGGCAGGATCCGGAGGTCTCCCGTTCTCTACTGAACTGCAAAGTGCAAAACCAGACAAGGAATCACAAAATGTGTGCAAAGCGTTTGCGGCTTCTTTGCGCACATCCCACGTACATGCCCTCCTTCCTTCTTCCTCCGGGAAAAGTATCCTTTGACACACCTCCCCTTGCCCCGATACAGAACAGTCACTCCTGTGCTCTTCCGCTTCAAAGACCTGACGCTGGGGACAACCGAGGTACCTCTCCCTTCAGAAAAGAAGAAAGTATGTGAATCTTCACATCAGCCAAAGGTAATCAGTCAGGATATTTTCCTGCAAGTCTGCTGCCTTTGCACTTGGAGAACAAAGACTACCAGGACTGAGGTACCAAATCCCTGTCTTTCAAGACTGCAGTTTGCTTTCAGATATTAAGTACTTATAAAGAATTTCAGTATGTGGATTACTCTTTTTGCAGATGAGACTGTGCTTCCTTCTAAACGGGGATAGAAACTACCAGAAACCATCTTTACCTTGTAAGACAAAAGAAAAGAGAGAAGCACCCATAATTGTACAATTGCTCAATATAGAAAATTTCCCCAAATTGTTTTTGGACTCATCTTTAGACAAATGTACGGACTTTTTAAATAGCTAGGAATCTGAGAAAATGTGTTAAAAACAATCGGAATTAATTCCTCCTGTGATTGACTTCAGGCAATTGTTTTCCACAGTGGCAAAACCAACCCATCATTCATATTACTATCCTTATCCTGCATTTCTTATCCTCAACCTGCCATCACCCTATCTCAGATAAACCTTGTGCATCTGCAAACTCTTGGTAAAAAAGACACACAGTGAGCTTGACTGCCTTTCCTAGAGCAATTTATGAGGATGAAAAGCAAGACATCCAAAGAAAACTTTTTTAACGTTTCTCCAACTAGAAGTCCCAGAGTTCATGCCAGACATTTTCCACTGTTCTGCATGCATAACCGTAATGCTAACGAAGAAATATCGAAAATGTACAGATGAGAGCAGATGTCAGAATCCTGTCCATTGCAGGTCCTGAAGCTTAGAGGCAGGACTTTGATTTTCAACAGCACCAGCTGGAAAAGAAACACAGATTATACTCTCCTGGCAGCATTTTTGGTCTGTTCTTTAAATTTTTCTTTTCCAACTGAATGTGGGGAGGTTTAGATTGGATATCAGGAAGTAGCTTTTCACGGAGAGGGTGGTGAGGCACTGGAACATGTTGCCCAGAGAAGCTGTGGATGCCCCATCCCTGAAGTGTTCAAGGCCAGGCTGGATGAAGCTTTGAGCAACCTGGTCTATTGGAAGGTGTCCCTGCCCATGGCAGGGGGTTGGAACTAGATGGTCTTTAAGGTCCCTTCCAACCCAAACCATTCTAGGATTCTATGAATTGTCACCACCGCTGTCTTTCCTAGACTTGCATGTATTGCAGCAAAGCAACTGAGCGAATCAAGGGCCAACCTTGATTCCAACCAGCCATGAAGAGAAGTGAACAAAATCACACAGTGCTTCCCATCACTGTTTCTACAACATCCCCATTCCTACTGAGCTGAGCCCCGGGAAGGACGACTTCTGAACACAATGACTTTTGCTTCTCCCCTAACTCTTGGCACGTACCTCTCAACACGGCAACAAAACGCTGGCCCTAGGGACTTGCACTGCAACCTCGATATCACACTGTATGCTGCTCTTAGCCTTCGAAAGGCAGTCTCTCTTATCACATGGAATATACACATAGAGCAGTGAGCAAAAGGCCAGAGTTTCCTACTTTTGTTCATCAAGTGATGACTAACTTCATGCATCGCTTCACTGATTGTGATTACATAGAAAACACCCAGCAACACTGAGAATGAGACTATTTGGCCTTATTAGAGCTGCACTTTTTTTTAATCAACAAATACCTTTCATTTAAGGTTTTGGTGTTGTGCACATTCTGAGGCTTAAGAATTAAAAGGTGAAAAGCTGCACACAAAACCTACACTTATTTGTAAAAGCAGCATCTGAAGAATTATATTTAAATATGTGTTTTTCCTAAGACATAGACTATCACTTTCAACGATTCATCTTCTACGTAAACAAACAAAACCCCAAAAACTCAGTTTTACAAAAACACAGGAAGTCCTAAAAGATATTAAATTTAATTCTTCCTAAACAGCAAATAGAAGATTCAAGCCGCAAAAATAACTCCTAACTGTATTAAGCTTACATCCCAATACACTTTAGTTTCAAGCTAAATATGGCCCCAAACCCTCCTTCCCACAATTTTCTATTTTAGCCCAGGTGTGCCAGTTCTTTATGCGGCTCTCCTTTTACCCCTAGGGAAGTACAGCTTGGTCCAGCCCCATCCCAGCCTCAATTGCCACGGCTTCAGGGGTCTACCTTAGTCATTAACTAATCAGAGGAAATAATTGCAAGTTCTTTCCTCAAGGAATAGCATCATGCTGGACCTCCAGGGGAGCCAACTTCCACAGCTACAGCTGCAGAAGACTCAAAGGCATGTGGCAGGCTGTTGGAGGCTGTCTGGATTTTAACGCATCTACCCACACAGATGCTCATTTGGCTTCTAGACTTTAATAGTCTACCCCTTGCCCTGCCGTTGCCCATGGTTCTATTCTTTAGACAAAAAAAGGGAATATATAACAGCCCCAGCTTAGCCAGACTTGCTGGATGCTGTAAAATCTTACGAGGACTGGCATTTTAGGTGCTGTAACAAGATACTAGATGCACTGACAATGGATAAAGATCGGGCTTGTCGGCTTTTCACCACTGTCCCTGTACCTTTATTGCCATCATGTGGCAGAAGCAGCTAGGCCTGAAAGGATATAGCTGTGAACAGATTTTATCCAAGCTATAACCACTTCAAGAAAGTGCCAAACACTTTCTTCATAGGTATTTGCACATATGTACTGCACACGCACATTTAGAAACCACAGCTCCCAAGCAGTTTAATTACAAACCCCCTCAGTTTTTAAAAGCCACTTTCACGATTGCTAATTGAGCCTTTATCACCTCAGCCTCAGGGGGAAGATGATTAAATGTAAACTGTCCTTGCTTTGACTGCCTTCCTTCTCCTCCCACCACTAAGTCCTCACTGTAGGAGCAACACTGCCAACTGAAGGTGGCTTCTGAGGGACGTATACAGTATACTCATGGTCACTCAAAAGGGAAAAGCATTTTATGTTGGTATGGTGTAACCAAGGTCTTCAGTGAAGGGGCAGCACGCTGATTTTAATGACCACCATCAGATCTTCTGATGATGTGTCATAAACAGGTGTTGTATCAGCATTTTGAAGTGACCATTATTATTATTATTACTATTACTGTAGTGCCTGGGAGCCTACGCATTGTCAAGTTTTCTTGGAAACATTATGGAAAAGAGATCTGAAGAAGAATGATAAGATGCAGCTTTGCATAAGTGTTGCAGTTTGAGAGGACAAAGAACTATCTAGTACTCTTCTTTCTGGGTGTTGGGTTTTGTTTTGGTTTTTTTTTTTAATATCTCTATATATGTATATATCTAGCTCAGCACAGCTCTAAAGGAGCGAGGCCCATTTTTTCAACATAGAAGTCCACTTCTCAGATCATAACTTCATTCAGAATTGCTAGTCCTAATCTAAGAATTGCTGACCTTTAAGGATACAGAAATGCCTCCAAACTGTTCCCATCCCTTAGCCTGCATTCTACCACACTACAGAAAATTGTAGAGCAGTGCATACCATGTCTCTGTCATATTCCTACTCTAGGCCTGAAGTAAAAACCCAGCAGTTTAGTGCTTCTCCAGCAAACAGCTTAATATACCTGTTCTAGAAGAGAAGGGACACCAAAATACACATGCTGGTGCTGCTACTACTTCTCAGCTCTAGATGGCTGGGCAGTCAGCAGCGAAGGGTGAATGTGTCTCTGAATGAGACAGAGCCTTCCACAGAGGACACTTCTCCCCATCAGGCACTGGTTCTGCAAAGCCACTAGCAGACAGGTCAGCAGAGGCAGAGTATTGGTTACAGCACTACCACTTGCTTTAGTCTCTGGTCGAGATGAGAAATCAATGGAGAAAGTTATACCCCTAACTGAAGTTACCAGATTCAACATCTTTGCGTTACTATACAGTTCTCCCACATACCGCTTTTAATCAATTCAGTGCCCAAGACTCTTCTGTTTCCAAGTTGAAATATAATAAAAGTAATTGAGAATGGGGAAGGTTTGAAATGAGCGAAGATGGAGGTGCCCACCCTTGCCAACCGCATTAAGTCAAAGGAAAACTACAATCAAAACCCATGTGCCGTTTACATAAACTGAACACTATGAATTCACTTACTTTTTGACATCCAGAGAGCCATTTTCCTTGTTTTCCATGTCAACAGTTAGCATGGGGAGGATAGAGGTTTCTTTTGCTTCAGCAACTGATCAACAGGGGGGAAAAAAGCTGTGTTTAATTATCGGTAGTATGAAAAAAGCAACATCTTTTAACAGAAACAAGCATTCCACAGGGATGCAACCATGTTTCCACCTAGAGCAAAGGTGCTGTCAGAGAGTGCTTTCCGCAGAAGCCTGGCAAAGCTGAGAACCGCTAATGAACTAGGCAAAGTTGACCTGTGCTTCAACCACAAGAAATATTTCATGCCTGAAAATCAAGGAAGGTAATGTTACATTTGATCCTTTTTGCAACTAACAAAATTTTGATCAAACTATATATCCATACACATAGGGATTGACCTGCAATAATAATTATATACCAAGAGAGCTTATTACACCTTCAGTCACCCTGCTACACGGAGGATCCAAATGGACATATCTTATCCCTAGCAAGGTTTTGAAGTCCATGAGCTCATTTTACAAATGAGGAATCAGATGAGCATGAAGTGACTTACACCCAACTCACAGAAAGCTGGTAAGCAGAGTTACTAACTGAGCACCAAACTCCCGAGGCCCGAGTATCTTATCCACAGGACCATCCTTCCCGCACTAGCACAGCTTCTCCTACAGGCATGGCATACTGAGCTCCGAAAGGGAAAGGAGCGTTGGAAGGACACGGGAGAAAATCCAGTCTGTTTCCCTCCTCGCAGCGTGCTGGAGTGCTTTCACCACACATCTTTTTCCATCCTCCATGGAACGAGCCTTTTCCCTCTGTTCTCAAGTAAGCCATTTCTGTTTCAGAGAGCACCAAAGAACTGACCAAGCACTCAGGATGTTCTCGCTGTAGCATTAATGGATGCCAGTGAAATGTCACAGAGCTCTGGGAAGTACCGAACAGGGAAATCACACTCTTTAGCGTAAACTTTGCAAAAAATAGAGGATAGCAATTAACAGCACTGTTAAGGAAAAAAGAAAGACCCTTTACTATCCAGCTAGCAGCACGTAAGGCACCGAGAAAGCAGTGACAAACTAATCGGAAAGCTGCTTCGTCCTGCACCGCTGACCCAACAACGCGTTCCCTCAGATCACTTCTCGGGTCACCTGAGGTGACCGCAGAACGACACCCGCACCAGCCCGTCCGCGGGGGGACGGGTCCCCTCGCCCCATCCGCGCCGCAGCCGGCAGCCACCCCGGGCT